TATATATATATATATATACAGAACGTTAATATTTGGTGATATTTAATTAAAATAATCACAATTTTTTTTTCAATTATGTGAAAATCTATTGATATTTAATTAAGACTTTTTTTACTTAAAAAAATCTGTTAATATTCAAAAATATAGAAATTTTAATAAATTATTTTAAAAATAGATCTTGGGACACTTATAATTAGGGATGAGAATAGGACGTTAAGTAAGAATATATGACTTAACCTATTTAAAGTTTGGTCTAATATATCCTACTTAATAAAAAGTTGGGTTTAAACTTTAAAAAAGTTTATTTATTTAAAAATGTTGACTTAGGCACATAAACAAGTTTGTTAGGTTTAATAGACCAATTTATTTATCTATGATATAATAATAAAATAATATATATTTAACATTATTAAGAATTGTCGTAACTCGAAAAATTTTGATCTTACGACTAATGATTTTGACTATCTTTTTAAAAATCCCATTAATTAAGGAATGTTCGGATACCAGACTAATCCTCAAAAAATGATTTTGAAAATAGGTTCATGGAGTCACCACCAATATTTTACTCAAAACATTGGAAAAAGAAAAGATGTTCAAAATTTCATAATGGCCTTAATAACTGTACTATCTGTACCGCTATGCCGAGCTCGAGCTCGGCATCACAGTGCGAAGTGACCTCGGACAAGTGCTAGGCGACATCGGCCCACTATCCAATCAGGTCACAACTGATCTCGGGCCCAAAGCCCAAATAAACCCTAATTCACACTAAGGTACGTGCATTACTTATACGAGACACATACATCCACAAATACTAACTTTGGCATTGAAGTCTCTTTTGCAGGTACCACCCCTGCCTTGGAACAACAATCGTACCCAGCGAAAGAGGCTCACCGATCTTGCCAACAGATCGTCCCTACGACCGATCCCTGGTAAGAACATTTGGCGCCCATCGTGGGGTCGATCAAGACAGCTCTTATCAGCCACGCTTATGTTTTTCCCCCGAAGCCATAGTAGACGAGCAACATACGACCTAGATCACGCAACTAGAATGGACAGCGAAGCAACATTGAGAAGACTGATCGAACAGGTCGAACAGATGCGGCAGCAACACGCCGACGACCTGCAAAGCATTCGTGCTAAGCATGAAACTGACCTTGCAGCGCTGCGTTTTGCGAATGAAACTGACCTGGCGGCGCTGCGCGCCGAGAATGAACGCATTCGGGCCCAGCTCCCTCGGTGCCCAGCTCCCTCGGTGCCCCTCTGATCAACCCCCTCAACCGAGTCATTAGCACGAGGAAGAGGGGCACTCAGTCTCTCAAACACGGACTGCACATCGTACACCGACCCCCAAGCCCGCCACACATTGATCGCATGCGTTGATGAACAGGTCAGCCCATGAAGTCAGCAATGCGCCTGCCCAGGATCCAGGGCATAGGGCAAGCACTCGCCGCCACCCCTTCTTGGATGGCATTATGGAGACGCCCCTCCCTTTTGGATGGAAGCCTCTCAACATCGACCGTTATGACGACACTACTGATAGGGATGGCAACGGGGCGGGGCGGGTACGAGTTTTATGATACCTGTCCCCGTCCCCGCGAGTCAAATCCATTCCCGTCTCCCGTACCTGTCGGGTATAT